TCTCCTGTCTACTTTCACTCATTCATCTACTTTCCAGCTTCCAAAATTTCATAGCATTTCTTGCTGTTGCCATCTTGTCACTATTATTTCTTGTCACTATTTTTTCTGTTCTTTTAATGAAATTTAGGCAAAGAACAATTCTATCTTCCACAATTATTTAGAAGTCTGGGTCATTATTTCCTCAAATACTTTTTTTCTCCATTATTTTTCCCCCTTTGCAACTCCTGTGCTATTGTTAAAACTTTTGTTCCTGTCCTCTGCATTTCTTAAATTCTGTTTTCCATTTCTTTATTTTTTTGTGATACTTTCTGAAGTTACTCAACCAGCTCATATTATCTTAGAATATTCAACTCATCTATCGCCATGTTGCTTTTTTCTCTTTTTTTTAAGATAATTTGAGACTTACAAAAAAATTTCAAAGATGGCCAAAAAGTTCTTTACTCAGCTTCCCCCAAATATTAACATCTATGTAACCATTGTACAAGTAGAAAAGCCAGGACATTAATATTGATAAGATATTATTAAGTAATCTGTAGATCTTATTCAGATTTTACCACTTGTCCCCCAGTGTCCTTTTTCTGGTTTGGGATTCAATCCAAGATCACACATTCCTTTAGTTGTCTTCTCCTCAGAGGAGGTCTTTATTCTTTATTTTTTGCCTTTCATGACCTCAATACTTTTAAAGAACAGAATGTCCTTAAATTTGGGTTTGTTTGATAATGTCCTCATGATTAAATTCAAGTTATGCATTTTTGGCACAGAAGTGAACATTGTGCCCTTGGCCAGTACACAGTGTCAGAAGGCACATGATGACGGTAATCCTCATTACTAGTCACATTAATGTTGATCATTTGGTTAAGTCTTTGCCACGTTTCTCTGCTGTAATGTTATTATTTCAGCTTTTGTAATTAATAACTATCTTTATGGGAAGATACTTTGAGACTGTGCAAGTATTATTTTAAAAAACATTTTTGCCAGGCATAATGGTTCAAGCCTATAATCCTAGCACTTTAGGAGGCCAAGAGGCCAAAGCAGGAGAATTGCTTGAGGCCAGAAGTTTGAGATCAGCCTGAGCAAGAGCAAGATCCTGTTTCTAAAAAAAAAGAAAAGAAAAGAAAAGAAAAGAAAAATTAGCCAGGTGTGCTAGCACATGCCTATAGGCTCAGCTACTCAGGAGGTTGAGGCAGAAGAATTGTTTGAACACAGGAGTTTGAGGTTGCAGTGAATATGACAATTACCAGGCCACTGCACTCCAGCCTGAGTGACAAAGTGAGACCCTTTCCCTCCCCCCAAAATATGTATATACATTTTTTTCATAGCACCATTATTGAAATTAGTTCATTTGCCACACAAGTCACCCATATAAAGTGTACAATTCAGTGGCTTTTAGTATGATCATAGAGTTGTGCAACCATTACCACATCAATTTTAGAACACTTCTCCTGGCTGGGCACGGTGGCTCACGCCTGTAATCCTAGCACTCTGGGAGGCTGAGGCAGGTGAATTGTCTGAGCTCACAGGTTCGAGACCAGCCTGAATGAGAGCAAGACCTCATCTCTACTGAAAATAGAGAAACTGAGGCAAGAGGATAGCTTGTGCCCAAGAGCTGGAGGTTGCTGTGAGCTATGACATGACACTATGGCACTCTACCCAGGATGACAGTGAGACTGTGTCTCCAAAAAAAAAGAACAACAACACTTCTCTTACCCCCAAAATTGAACCACATATGCATTAGTAGTCATTCTCAATTTTCCATTGACCCTCCCCCGGGCATAGGCATCTACTAATCTATTTTCTATGTATAATTTTTTTTTTTTTGAGACAGAGTCTCAAGCTGTTTTCCCTCTGTAGAGTGCCATGGCATCACAGCTCATGGCAACCTCAAACTCTTGGGCTTAAGCAATTCTCTTGCCTTAGCCTCCCAAGTAGCTGGGACTGTAGGCACCCACCACAATGCTTGGCTATTTTTTGTTCCAGTTTTCATTTGTTTAGCTGGCCCAGGCTGGGCTCGAACCCACCAGCCTCAGTGTATGTGGCTAGCACCATAACCACTATGCTGTGGGCACTGAGCCTATCTCTATAAATTTGCTTCTTTGGGACATTTTATATAAATGGAATTGTGTAATATTTAGTCTTTTGTGACTGATTTTTTTCACTTAGCATAATGCTTTCAGGGTTTATCCATGTTGTACCATGTGTCGGCATATCCTATACCCAATAATATTCCATTGTATGGATATGCTACATTTTATTTGTCCATTCATCAATCTATAGACATAATGAGTTTTTGCTACTTTTTGGCTATTATGAATAATATTGCTGTGAACATTTATTTGCAAGTTTTCATGTGGACCTGTTTTTGTTTCTTGAATATATACCTAAGAGTAGAATTACTGGATTTTATGGTAACTTTATGTTTAACCTTTTGAAAAACTACTACCTGGTTTTTCCAATGTGACTGTACCATTTTACATTCCCTTCAGCATTGTATGAGTGCTTCAATTTGTCTAAATCCTCACCAACACTTGTTATAATTCATTTTTTTAATTATAGCCATCCTAGCAGGTATGAAGTGGTATCTCTTTGATTTACATTTTCCTGATGGCTGATGATCTCATATCTTTTCATGTGCTCATTGGTCATTTGTATATCTTTCTCTCTCTCTTTTTTTTCTTTTTGAGACAAAGTCTCTGTTGCCTGGGCTAGAGTACCATGGCATCATCATAGCTCAGCAACCTCAAACTCCTGGGTTCAAGCAGTTCTCCTCTCTCAGCCTCCCAAGTAGCTGGCACTACAGGTACCTGCCACAATGCATGGCTAAGTTTTCTATTTTTAGTAGAGACAAGGGTCTCACTCTTGCTCAGGCTGGTCCTGAACTCTGAGCTCAGGTGATCCTCCTGCCTTGGCCTCCCAGAGTGCTAAGATTATAGGTATGAGCCACCACGCCTGCCCTTCTTTTTGTTTTTTTTGAGATAGGATCTCACTGTCACATAGATTAAAGTGAGTTGCCTGATCATAGGTCACTGCAGCCTCAAACTCCTGGGCTCAAATAGTCCTTCTGCCTCAATCTCCCCAGTAGCTAGGAATACAGGTATATGCCACTATACCTGACTAATTTTTCTATTTTTTGTAGAGATGGAGTCTCACTGTGTTGAATTCCATATTTGCTTATAGTTTTTTCCTTTTGATGATAATTCATGTATAATGAAATGTGCAATTTTTAAATTATTATTTCAAAATGTTAAGGGGTTACAAATGTTTTTGGTTACATGGATTGCTTTTGTAGTGCTTGAGTCACAGCCATAAGTTTGATAGGTTTGATAGGTAAAAAAGTTTGCCTATCACCAAATAGTATTCATTGTACCTGTTAGGTAGGTTTTTGCTCTTCCCCCACCTTGATTGAGTTCTCAAGTTTCATTTCCTCCTATACCCATGTGTGCTCATTGGTTAGTTCCAATTTAATAGGAATTACATGTGATGTTAGTTTTTTCTTTTTTTAGATACTTCACTTAGGATAATGGTCTCCAATTCCATCCACATTGTTGCAAAAGGTATTACATCATCCCTTTTTTGGCCATGTATGCATATATATACCACATTTTGTTAATTTACTCATGATGGGCACAAAATCCACAACTCTTTTTTTTTTTGAGACAGAGTTTCATTTTGTCACCCTCAATAGAGTGCTGTAGCATCGTAGTTCACGGCAACCTCAAACTCTTGGATTTAAGCAATCCTCTTGCCTCAGCCTCCCAAGTAGCTGGGACTACAGGGGCCCACCACAACGCCTGACTATTTTTTAGAGATGGGGTCTTGCTCTTGCTCAGGCTCATCTTAAACCTGTGAACTCAGGCATTCCATCCACCTTGGCCTCCCAAGCACTGGGGTTATAGATGTGAACCACCACACTCAGCCTAAAATCCACAATTTTTAAGGGTACATTCACCCAAGTTTTTTGGGGTTTTGGGTTGTTGTTTTTCAGAGACAGGGTCTTGCTTTCTCACCCAGGCTGAAGTGCAGTAGCATAATCGCAATTCATTACAACAAATTTTTTTGCTTTGTTGAATGAAGTATATCATAAAATCCATCTGTTTTAAGTGTGTACTTTCAGTGCTTTTTTAGTTTGCAGAGTTGTGCAACTAATACTAAAATCTAATTTTTCTAACATTAACGTTTTCATTACCCCCAAAGTAATCTCATACCATTAGCAATCATTCCTCTGTCCCACCTCTATGCCTAAGCAACCACTAATCTACTTTTTATCTCCATATATTTGCCTTTTCTGAATGTTTTATGTAATTGGAATCAGATGATCCATGATCTTTTGTGTCTGGCTTCTCTCACTTAACGTGTTCCTCAGATTCATGGATATAGCATCTATCACTACTTCATTCCTTTATATTGCCAAATAGTTTTATATCAGCAGTTCTCAACCTGTAGGTCTCGACCCACAGGAACTGTATTAAAGGGTTGCAGCATTAGGAAGATTGAGAACCAACCACTGTTTTATATGGATATACCATACTTTGCGAATTTATTTGCATTTGAATTGTTTCCACTTTTTGACTTTTATAAACATTTGTGTACAGAGTTTTTCAAATTTTTTTTAGAAATAGAGTTTTGTTATATTGCCCAGGCTGGGTTCAAGCTATTCTCTCACCTCAGCCTGCTGAGTAGTTAGGACTACAGGCGTGTGCCACTGCATCCAACCGGGTATAAGCTTTTGTCTAAACATATGTTTTCATTTTTCCTGGGTATATGGCTAGGAGTAGAGTTGCTAGGTCATATATTAACTCTACATTTTAACACCATTTTACATCCCATACCAGCGTGTGTGAAGGCCTCAGTTTCTCCACCTCTGAGCTGCATGAGGTTAGGAACTCTGGCTCGTCTTTGTGTGCTGGGAACCTAGCGTGGGCCTTGGCGCACAGACTGTGCCCAGGCTTGCGAGACTATCTTAATTCAGGCTTCTTTCTTTGCTTCTCTTTGTTGTTTTCTAGGGTTTCAGCTAAGAGTTTCCCATTGTCTGGAAAAATGCCACAGGAGCTCATGGGATGCTGGGAGGCAGCCCTTTTCTGGAAAGTCCTTTTACTTGGATCTGCCTGCTGGCAAAAAACTCCAGTTTTTGACAGAGGCCATTCAGCAACTGGGTGGGGTATGTATCCTGCTTCTCTCCTGTGATGATATGTGTCGTTGGAGGTTTCAGGGCAGCAATTGGAGAATGATTATATCTATGGTTTCCAGGTATTTTTCAACAGTATCACTACATGTTCCAAGGCAGTACTGAATTTAAATAAAGTTTTTTCCTGCTTGGAAAAGTAATGTCTATTCATTCTAGAAATTTAAGAGAATGTGGTACTACTACTACAAGTGAAAACCAGCAACTTAATGTATTTTTCTTTTTTCCCTTCCTCTCATAATGGATTTATTGAGATATAATTCACAAACCATGACTTCCCCCCATTTTAAGTGCACAGTTCAGTGGTTTTTAGTATATTCACAGAGGTGTGCGAGTTGTGTCATCAGATCACACAGTCAATTTTAGAATATTTTCTTTTTTTTGAGACAGAGTCTTTGTCACCCTTGGTAGACTGCCATGGCATCATAGCTTACAGCAACCTCAAACTCTTGGGCTCAAGTGATTCTCTTGCTTCAGCCTCCTGAGTAGATAGGACTGTAGGTGCCCAACACAAGAGACTGAGTTTTGCTCTGGCTCAGGCTGGTCTTGAACCTGTGAACTCAGGCAATCCACCTGCCTTGGCCTCCCACAGTGCTAGGATTACAGGTGTAAACCACCATGCCTGGCCAGTTTTAGAACATTTTCATCACCCAAAAAGAACAACTGTGTGTCCATTATCAGTCATTCACTCCCCACATCCTGGGAATATCTCTAGCCCTGAGTAAACATTCATCTACCTCCTTCTCTGTCCTACCTTTGTTTTGTCTGTCTAGCTCTGATCACAAATATATTTTGTTTACCAACTTTTTACTCATGACTTTAAAGAATTAGCACTTTCTTATCATATTTGCCTTTCATATGCGTTATTTGTAAGGAGAATGTAATGTTCTTTTGAGTGGATGTATTTACTTAATGGTTGCCCTATGGCATTTATTTATTTATTTATTTATTTTGAGACAGAGTCTCACTATGTCACCCTTGGTGGAGTGCTGTGGCATCACAGCTCAAAGCACTCTCAAACTCTTGGGCTTAAGCAATTCTCTTGCCTCAGCCTCCCAAGTAGCTGGGACTACAGGCGCCTGCCACAACGCCCGGCTATTTTTTGTTGTAGTTGCCATTGTTTAGCTGTCCTGGGCCAGGTTCGAACTTGCCATCTTCAGTGTATGTGGCTGGCGACATTACCACTGTGCTACGGGCACTGAGCTGCCCTATGGCATTTAGACTATTTTTAATTTTTAGCTCTTACGACTAACACTGTGTTGAGCAACTTCGGAGTAAAAAATAAGTTCATTAAAATATTTTTAAAGCATATTGTTATATGGTAATTTTAATAAGGGTTGACATGGCTGTCTCTTATGTTTAGAAAATAATATATTAATGCTTGACCCAAAAGGGACTCGTAGGTGGCGCCTGTGGCTCAGCGAGGAGGGCACCGGCCCCATATACTGAGGGTGGCGAGTTCAAACCTGGCCCTGGCCAAACTGCAACAAACAAATAGCCAGGCGTTGTGGCAGGCACCTGTAGTCCCAGCTACTTGGGAGGCTGAGGCAAGAGAATCGCCTAAGCCCAGGAGTTGGAGGTTGCTGTGAGCTGTGTGACACCATGGCACTGTACCGAGGACAATAAAGTGAGACTCTGTCTCTACAAAAAAATAAAAATAAAAATAAAGGGACTGGTAAATGGGGAAACTGAATGAATAAGTTTGGAATTCAGAGGCTCTTTGCTGTCAAACTAACCAGAAAGTCAGGAATACAGAAACTCAGCAGTAGGGATGGAAAAGATAAAGATTATATACCCAAACTGGCCCATAATTACATTTTGAACTTTTAGTCTGTTGTGTCATTTATCCTTTGCTGTATAAAACACCGTCCAGAGCTTGGGCTTAAAACAACAATGTATTATTTCTTACTTTCTGTGATTTGGCTAGGACTGCATCCAGCTGGAGGGTCAGCCGGGCTGGAAGGACCAAGATGACCACGCCCACACAGCTGGCCCTGCAGCTCCTCACACATTATATATGCATGTGATATTATATGGTAAGCTAGACCCCTGAATTACACTGTGGTATCTGAAGACAGCCTTCCCAAAAGGTAAATGAGGAAGCTGTAAGGTCTCTGAGGCCTGCACTGTAGAATTCACATGTATTATTTTCACCACATTCTATTGGTAAAAACTAGTCGGATTCAAAGGAATAGAAGGAATGTGTGGTCATTAAGCAGTCTACCATATTTATAGAGGATAATCATTGCCCCACTCCTACCCTCTAGCATTTGTTTTTGCCATAATAAAGAAAGTAGATATAATCCTTTAATCCATAACTTTAAAGATTTTTTGAAATTGTGGCAAAATGTATATAACAGAATGGTGCCATTTTAACCATTTTTATGTTTTTTTAAAAAATGTTCAAGTTCATTGGCATTAATTGTTTTCACACAATTATATAACCATCACCCATTTCCAAAATATTTTTATCACCCAAACAGAAACTCTGCTACCATTATGCAATAACCCCCATTTCTCCTTTCCCCAGCCCTAGAGATGTCTAATCTACTTTTCAACTCTGTGAATTTATCTATTCTAGAACCTCATACACATATCAATAGAATCATTGGTGTTTTTTCTTTTGTGTCTGGCTTATTTCACTTAGTATAATATTTTTAAGATTCGTTCATCTTATAGCACATGTCAGAACTTTATTTTTATGTCTGAATAACATTCCATTGTCTGGCTACACCACATTTTGTTTATTCATTCATCTGCTGATGGTCGTGTAGGTTGCTTCCACTTTTTGGCTCTTGTGAATAATGCTAAAATGAACATTAGCATTCAAATATCTGTTCAAGTCCATTTTTCTTTTTCTTTTTCTTTTTTTTTTTTTTTTTGGTTACAGTTTGGCCACGGCCTTGTTTGAACCCACCACTCTTGGTATATGGGGCCAGCGCCCTACTCACTGAGCCACAGGCCCCGCCCTTCAAGTCCATTTTTAATTCTTTTGGGTATGTACCTAGGAGTAGAGTTGCTGGGTCATATGGTGGTTCTAAGTTTGGCTTTTTGAGGAACTTAAAACATTTCATTTTTACTTTAAGTGCCAAGTTTCTCTTTCAGTCACACTTTTCAGGCATCACCCATTTTATTTTCAGTGGTGAGCTGGAGCTGGCTCACAATTGTTAGCATCTCTTTCCAGCTCCTTATTGGGTGACGTCATGCATTTATTCCTTAGAAACCAGCAAATGTATGAAATGGGATTTTTTCCTGGCAAACATTAAACATTTGCCAAGTTATCACTGCTTATTCCCATCTTTTCTTCTAACCCCAAATGTGAATTAAGTGTCATTATGTTTCAGGTACTGTGCTGGGGTCTTAGAATACAAAGATGAGTCGGGCATCTTACTTTGTCACCCTTGGTAGAGTTCCATGGTGTCATAGCTCACAGCAACTTCAAATTCTTGGGCTCAAGTGATTCTCTTGCCTCACTGCCCATGAAGGGCTTCTCAACCTTCCTAATGCCGCAACCCTTTAGTACAGTTCCTGTGGGTCACAACCCACAGTTGAGAACTGCTGGCTTAGAGTCTGGTAGAATGAGGAACTGAGTATTAACTAAAACCCATTTGCTTCATTTTTTAGTGTCCTTTTTGTATTGTGATTAAAATTACAGATGCATTGCTCGGATGTCTCACTATATCTTACACAGAAAAATTGTGGTTTAACTGAGCTGCTCTTAACCCTGACAGCCTCTTCAATGTATTCTTGCTGCATATTTGAGCTGGTCATATAACTCAAAGCCTGTGGCCTTCTGCTGCTAGGTCAGGAGCAGCAGTCCTGGAGACAAACCTGCATTATATATATATAAACTCCATTATAGTTCAGGATGATGCCTTTTTGGGAGACGTGGTGCAGAACTGAATTTAGTCTATTTAAAGGCATTGATTCTGGAACTTCTGGCAGCCAAGATTTCCTTCCCTAACCTCTTGATATCGACAACTCTACATTTGCTTTTTGGTTTTCAGCCACCTCTGTGATTTGGTTTCAGGTAATTGAGGGTTTTCTGAGCAAAGAAGTAAGCTACATTGTGTCCAGCCGCAGAGAAGCAAAGGCAGAGAGTGGTAGGACAAGCCTCAGAGGCTGCCCCAGCCCCAGCAAGATCAGAGTGGACATATCTACCATGGTTGATCCAAAAGGCAGCCACATGAGGCCTTCACAGAAACCTATAGACTCGGTAAGAACCCCATGGAGTAGGATAGGTGTGTTCTGTAAACAAAGGGCTTTGGTGAGAACGTTTAGACAGTCTCTGGTTTTAATTTCATCTGGCTTAATTTAATTTCTCATTTCTCATTTGAATTCAGGGGCTGAGAATATTTTTATCATAGCTCTGGATCTAAACACCTTAGCAACATGCTGTTCCTTCTATGCTATATGTCTCTCTTTTCTTTCTTTCTTTCGTTTTTTCTTTTTTCTGTTTTTTTTTTTTTTTTTTTTTTTT